CCAGCACAACAGTAAAAGGACATTTTAGGCCAAAATTTTTATCTTTGGTCATGGTCTTCCTTCCTTCGCACCCACACAGCACCACATTTTTGAATCTCCTCTGTCTCCTGATCATGCTCAGGAACACCGGCGATATTTCAGATTAAAATGAATTGGTGTGCGGGGCTGTCGGGAAATGCTGTAGTTCAGAGTCGGCTCACCCTCATGCAAACGCAGTTAAGTTGCTGACTGTGCCGTGACAGTGGCGTGTGGCAACAGGTGAGGCCCCAGGTCCGAGAGAGCCAATTTTTTTAAAACTCTGGTAAATTGGGGGATTAAAGAATCTAAGGGGAGCACTCGTTCAGCAGCTCATATACTAAAACTGGAATGATCCAGAGTCCTGCATGGTCCCTGTGCAAGGAGGAAGCGCAAATTCACGAAGTGTTCCATATTTAAAAAAAAGAATCTCAGAGGATGTGTTAGTTTGCTAGAGGCTGCTATAACAAAGTACCGCAAACCAGGTGCCTTAAACAACAGAAAATTATCCAGCTCTAGAGGCTGAGAAGTCTAAGATCAAGGTACTAGCAGGGCTGCTTTCTGCCGAGGGCTCTCTCTTGGCTTCTCACTGTGTCCTTACATGGCCTTTCCTCTACACCTGTCTGTGCCCTAATTGCTTCTTATTAAGGACACCGGTCATTAGATTAGGGCCCACCCCAATCACCTTATTTAACTTTAATTGCTTCTTTAGAGAATCTATTTCCAAATACAGTTCATGCTGAGGCACTAAGGGGTTAGGACTTCAACACAGGACGGGGGCAGGGAGAGCAGAATTCAGCCCATAATGGAAATAAGTCAAATAGATTGCTTACTTCTAAAGTATGGAACCAAAATGAACGGCATACAGTCAGGAATAAGGCATTGGCATGCCAAGAAAGAAAAAAGGGAGGGAGGAAGGGCCGGTGGGTAGGGAGGAAGGAGGAAGAGTCAGGGAAGGAAGGAAGGCAGGGAGGAGGAAAGAAAGGGAAAGAAAAGCTTCATGAATGGAGTCTAAATTGGCCCAAATTGGAGACCTAGCTTGATGAAGGAATTCACCCCAGCTGTGCCTACCAGGAGCCCATCGATTCGTCAACCTAAGAATCCATGTTGAAAGTTGGATGATCCCAGATACTAAGGCCACTCATTTTTGCTTGTTATGCTCTGTATCATCCAGTACTGTCTTTGCCCTAGAGACTTAATCCACATGGAACAAAATAGGGGGAAAAAATGGATTTGCTATTCTCAAAAGGTGTTCATGGTCCACTGCTAAACACTGTGGTCTACAGGGTCTGTTGAAAGGTAGAGCCCATGCTTCTTCTGCTCTGACACAGTCAGCTGGGGGGTGCCCCAGACAGCTCACCCTGTGATGTTTCCACTAAAGCAACGGCCTGCTATTTCACTGTGGGGCTGCTCCCCATACCGCCAAAAGGATTGCTGCACTCACCCCCTAAACTATTCTTAATAAACGGAACAACAGTGTCCACTTACTGTGATCCCTGCTACGTGTGCAGCTTGTGCCAGGCATTTGAAATACAGGTCCTGTTCGAGCATGACCTTTTCAATCTCTTCAACCACAATAGACGCATTTTACAAAGAGCTATTTTGTACATAAGTGGTTATAAAATACGTAAACGATATAAGCCATATTTTGTAAACTTTTTGTTTTATGCTTTTAGAGAAAAGCCATAGGCTGCAACGCCAAGAGTAAATTATGAACCGAACAGTTTTATGTTGTTTTTGTCTTGCAATTTCACAGCAATTGATATATTCTCGTGGTGGGGATATTATACCTTGATTCACATGCTGCTTAGTTTTTTTCTTTTTTTCACGGATAATTTTGAATCATTACATAAAGTCAGAGACAATACAACCTTTAGATTCTCTTCTTCCCAAAACATTTACTGAAGTATACCTAAAGCAACCACTATTAACAAAAAAAAAATGTATTTTTCATTTACGGAAAAAGTGCAAATAATTGCTCCTTATAAGCATAATTCCAATTATTGGGGCAAACGGGAAACAGGTGTGATTGTAGAGCTCCGCTTAGCTTCCAAGCTGGAACCGGTGGGTGTTAAGTATTTTGTGGTGCAATACTGCCATCTGGTGGACTCTATGAAGTATTTTATATTTAGTTGCTGAGAGCAGCTAAACCGGAACCCTTGACAATATTCCTGGCCTCCTTTGATCCATTTTATTACTCCCCTAATCTCTGTCAGATACAGAGAATCTGATTTGTATGCATAGACATTTTAGACTCTACCTATTATTTGAAGCTTGAATGAGGTGAGTCCAGGGGCTCAAGCCTTAAACCCAGACAAAAGGGGACTCCGCTGGGACCCCGCGATTTCGAGGACTCAGCTGACTTCCCCCGGCTGGACCTCTCCCTGCTGATCAGAGTCCTGGGGCCAAAGGGCGTACCCACCCACACCCCGGGAGCCCTTTGCTTCCTGATACAAGCCCTCTACCTCACCTTCACCACCAATTTCACTTCCTGCATCCTATTAATGCACTAACGCTCTCATTTTGCCTGAGGTTTTAATGAACAGGCTCCCACTTCCCAGATATGATTTGCATTAGAGTGGCTAACCGAAATAACCTGACACATCCTTTCCCAGCAATAATAACAAAGGGTAATTTAAGATACAAAAACAGGACCGTGGGATAATTTTTCCCTCCCCTCCAAATCATATACTGTGGCTACAAAAAAAAATCTACATTTTCCAAACCTTAGACCTCTGCTGCCACCTTCAGGACGCTTGTCATAACAGCATGTTCTACTGCGGCTGTTTACTTCATCTAAAATGTTACATAAAGTTTCAGTTAGACAAGATGAGTAAGTTCTAGCCTTCTGCTTTATAACATCCTACCTGTGGTTAACAATACTGTATTGCACACTTAAAACTTAAGAGGGTAGATTTTATATTGTGTGTTCTTACGATAAGTAAAAGCTATTTGAGAGAGAGGGAGAGGAAGGGAGGGAGAAAGGAAGGAAGGAAGGAAGGAAGGAAGGAAGGGAGGGAGGGAAGGAGGCAGCCTACCAGAGGAGGAAGCTGGCTGAATCTTGTAATAGAACAAGCTAAGAAAGGAGTGACTGGCATTTAGTCTATGTATTTCACAAATCTTGTTACACATTTTATTTGCTGCTCTATCAAATAATAGGATAATAAAAATAGCTAACACTCTACAATGTAGATATATGGTATATAATAAAAGCGTGTGAATATGTTTTATACATATAAGGAAACTACATGTATGTATATAAACATACATGATACACACACACGGTACAGTCAGAGCACCTTGCACATTACACGGCTTACTCTGTGGCAGGTAGGTGCTGTGTGCTTTGTTATCATCACCATGTTTACACATTTCATTGTCTCAACGACCCCATGAGATGGATACTATTACTAGCCCTATTTTACAAAGAAACGGAGGTTCCAAGAAATTAACCCGTCTACGATTCCGCAGCAAGTGATTCCCTGTGTATCTGCCTTCAAAGTCAGCGTTCCTCACCACTGGATGAGCCCCTGTCATTTCAGGAAGCTGGACAATGACAGGAAAGTGTGATGCTGTGAAATAAGAAAAATGAGATGTAGCATCGCCCGGCGTTCCTTCACAAGAGTTGCTGGGCGCTGAGAATGCAGGGGTGAATGAGGCAGGCGAGGGCCTTGCTCACTACCCTGCATGTTAATAGGAAGGAAAGCAACTGCTCCTAGTAGGAAGGAGAACAACAGAAAAATAGCTCTTCGTATTTTAACAAGAAAACCATGTGTGATACACGGAACTTATGAGATACGTAAGATACATGGTGAATCGAAGTAAGGTGGTATGAGAGAAAGTGACCAAGAGGCTGTTTTGTGCTGGGTGGTCTGAAAGGAGGTGATAGATCCTGAACAAGAGCCACTCTAAAAAAAAATTTTTTTTTAATCTACCCATATGAAGTTCTATGGGGATAGAGAAAATTCCAGAAATACTTAAGAAGAGCTGGTGTAGAAACCTCAAGAGAGGGAAGCTTAAAGAGCACAAATAAGGCCTGTAGTGGGAGTGAGGAAGGGGAGGGAGAGGGTGAAGGGCAGAGGTCTGAGAGCAGGGCATGGCTGCACAGCAGAGGGCTGCATAAGCCAGGGTCATGTAGGGGATTTCATCACAGGTGGAAGGAGACGCCTTTGGAAGCCTTCAGCCTTTAAAAAGATCACTGTGACTGCTCTATGGAGGAAGGGTTTGAAGGCGCAGAAAATGGAAGCAGATATCCTACCTGGAAATCCCTTGCAAAAATGCATCAAGTTGTACAGATGCCTCTATAGTAGGCAGTGATGGGGGATGGACAGATCTAGAAGGATCCGTATACCGTGTATGTATGCTGTGACCGTGGAGTCTACAGGTCACACGCTTTCAGTGTGGAAGGAGAGTGGAGAAAGACAAATTGAAAACAATGCTCAGATATGGGGGGTTGCTATGGTCTGGGGAGGAGAAAGTTTAGGGTGAAGGGAACAAATCTGGAGTTTACTTCAAGACCCAAATCGGGAACCTCATTCTGTCTTTTCTTTTTTAAGAATTTATTTATTTATTATTAGAGAGAGGGAGAGAGCACACGAGCTGGAGGGGGGACGGGCAGAGAGAAAGGGAGAAGTAGTCTCCCCGCTGAGCGGGGAACTCGATGCAGGACTCGATCCCAGGACCCTGGGATCACGACCTGAGCTGAAGGCAGATGCTTCACTGACTGCGCCACCCAGGCGTCCCTCATTCTGTCTGTCTGTCTGATTGTGTGACTATAGTCAAGCTATTGAACCTCACTGAGCCCCAGTGTACTCATCTATAAAAATGCTGGAGCAGATATTTTCTGGATAACTTCTCTGTCTATGTGGGATATATTGCAGTTTGCAAAGAATGGCTTTAAAACCTTCCAAACCTATGAGTAATGACGAAATACACATTAGCTTACTTTGGATGATCCTGTGTGACAAAGTGAATGAATGAATGAATGAATGCATCACCGGCCAACCAACCCACAGTGGGATTCAATCTTCAAAGTTAATGTCCAGAAATGAAGATGAAGTTACATTCTGGAGTCATAATACTCCTACCACATTACTGGTATAAAATCGACTTTCATGTTCCATAATTCTGAAAACCTGGAGGTAAAATTCCTCTAGACAACAGAAGTATCTGCTTGTGGATTTATATACACTTTTAATGAATGTTGTAGACTGAAGTAAGTTCTTTTTTATTTGACAATGCCATTATTCTTTGCACCAGTTTCCATCAAATATTGGACCACCTGAACTCAATTCTTTTCTTTGGGTTATTTTTAGATAATTCTGTGAGGTGTGGGAATTATTGCTGGAATATCTGGGTTTCTTAAGGAAAATCCCAGAGAATCAAAAGGGTTCTGGACACAGCATATGTGAATTAGAAAT